ACCCCGTCTACCCAACCAAACTGCACGCAACCCCCCTCCCTCCATCGGCACGAATGTAGTGCTAAGATAGTGGCGCGCAATACAGGCGTGCTAGCTAAAAAGCTAAAGACAATGCTTTAGCTCACACTGAGCACCCCCACCCCCGCTCGAAAACTTTCTTGGTAAAAGATGTGTCTCTGCCCACCCCCGCCCGATCCACAAAAATCATGGACGAGATGATCGAAGGTCCCACCATAGCAAGTTATCTAAGGCAGTGGTTCCCAACCCTGGTCCTTGAGGAACACCATCCTGCATGTTTTAGTTGTTGCCCTGTTCCAACACACCTGATTCAGTGATTTAATTACTTCCTCATGTTCTGCTGAAGCTTAAAATCTGGTGTGTTGAAAAAGAGAAACAACTAGGATGGTGTTCCTCAAGGACCAGTGTTGAGAACCCCTGATCTAGCGAAAACACTGATGTGTGTTAGCTTTCTGTAGCAACCCCAACAGTAGGGCGCAACTGAAAGAATTACAACAAAAACCTCACCTTTGCACAACCTGAAGCAGAACTTCAGCCAAGTTTAATTTGGTCAAGTTCTGGCTTAAAAAGGTGGATTGTGAACAATCCACTGTTAGACATGGCTCATATCTAACCCAACCACCAGGTGGAACTTTTTAACCCAATATTTGGTCAGAACCCAAACTATGACCACACAACTTTAACCCAGGAAGATGTTCATAAGGTTAGGGTTAACATACAGTTTGGGTATATTTTTGGTCTTAAAATAATTCTAAAATGGCATAGACTTGCTAAGCAACCTTACAAACATTCAGTGACACAGCTGTAGAGATACTGTGTCCTGAAGAGCACCAACAACTTGCTCCTGACACTTTTCATGGCCTTGAGTCTTTTTCTTTGTATGCTGATTCCATCTTTACTTTGCTTCCACCGGTCACAGCCCTTCTGGCTTCATCAGTACCAGACACCACAGTGGCTGGAAGTCCAAGCAACGCCTTTGCCCATCCTCCATTCGTACATCCAAGACACTGTTCCAATGGTCTCAGAAGGTTCACTCTGAGTGGTGCCGCTACCAGCCAGCATGTCCCTTTGTGTGAAACCCATCTAAGGGGACTAATGGTAAAATACCTTCTGCTATGATTTTAGTTAACAAATATATTATTGTCATTATTGAAGAAAGTGTAAAAAGTAAATCAATATATAACAAGTAGCACTTTCTCTCTATGCTTTAAGCTTTATTGTAGGTCCGACCAAATGTGCATCTGTCCAGAATGTGAGGTCGAGGATCACAACGATCACGACACGGTGTCTGTTGAGACCGAATGGATGGAAACTAAGGTTGGAAAAGAAAAGAGACTATAACTATATCGATGTTTGGAGCGAGTCGTTCAGACGAGGGGAAATATGAAAGAAAAGCTGCAATGACAGCGATGGATGGCATACCGAAGGGAAAATATTTATTTGATCCCATCTTGATTTTTGTACATTTAGTCACTTAAAAAGAAATAATGTGATATAAATATTAAATCTGTCGGTAAGATGTATTTTCTAGTTGGTCACCAGGTTTGCAGACATCTCAGGAGAGATTTTGACCCACTCCTCTTTACTGTAACTCTCTAAACCCTTCAGATTTCTTGACTCCTGCTTGGCAACTCAAAGCTTGTCAAAGATTTTCACCAGGACCGAGGTCTGGAAACTGTTCAAACCACTAATTTCTTAATATCCTTCTTTAGCTGCTTCTTTGTTGCTTTGTTGTTTTGAGCCACTTTCACGCTGGAAGACCAATCCACGACCCAGCTATAGGGTTCTGGCTGAGAATAGAACATTCTTGTTCAAGACTGTATGGTACACGGCTCTGTTCATTTGGCTCTTCAGTGCAGTGAAGTTGTCCTGTACATTTAGGAGAAAAACAGCCCAAAACATAATGCTGCCACCTCTTTGCTTGTCGAAATGATGTTCTTCAGGTCATTCTGAGGATTTCCCTTACTCCAAACATGTCAAGTGGAAATGATGCCAAATAGCTTAAGTTTGGCATCCTCTCACCACAGCACTATCTGCAAAGCCACCTCTGAATCTTTTAGATGTTCGGACGTAAGGACCTTGTGGGCTCTTACATTGAAATGTTTTCCTCGTGGTGGTCTTGGACTGTGGTCCCAACTGCCTTTAGGTCAGAAGCTTCAATCATGTAACTATGGACTGATCTTAAAGGCAGCTCCAGAGCAAAGATGGCTGATGGCTAGGGATGCATGATATTATCCGCATGATATCGGTATCGGCTCATATTTGAGTTTGGACGTCGTGTTAGCCCCGTTAGCATGATTAGTCTTACGGCACAATGGATAGACAAAAACTTGGAACTTAAAAAGTCTGTCCTTCATGTACAAGAGTGCAGAGGATCCCACACTGCAGCTATAGGAACCTGGAACAAGCCTCCATGAATGAGACAGCATCGCAGGTGACTAATGCTAATAAATAATTAACACGACTGTCAACAAGGAAGAGGGCTGGCAATGGAGGAGGGGGCGTGCCAAAAACACCATCTTAGCACCAACATAACTGGTTCGTTCCACGTTGGAGTAAGCTGTTGGGTGGAAGAATCAGTTTTGTGTTTCCTTGACTGATGAAGCCTTCCGAATATAAGGCAAAACTTTTCAGCACAAAAAAAAAAAAAAGTAACTGTCCAGATGACCTGACTGAAAAATGTTGGATTGTATACCTGGATTATTGAGCATGGACTTTGTTGCTAATAAATAATATTTAACACTTTTCATTTAATATAAATTAAAGTGCTATGCATATGGCTGTTACTGAATATGTCACCAGCTCTTACAGCTGTTACACATTTTTTTGTAGCAAATAAGCCTAAATAAGAGGAATATGTTCTGACGAAGGAAAGTATGTAAAAAATCTGTATCGGTTATCAGCCAAATAACTTTTAACATATCGGGATATCGGCCAAAAATACAATATCGTGCATCCCTTTTGATGGCCATTTAATATTTCTTCCATTTCCAAATAACTGAACTAACAGGAGTCACCTTCCCACCAAGCTTCCTGCTAATGGTCTTGTAGCCCATTCCAGTCTTTGTCTTGTACCATTCCAGTCTTTGTCCTGTACCATTCCAGTCTTTGTCCTGTACCATT